ATCCACACCCTTTTTCAGTTATATAATATAATACGAAGATTGTAAAGCACGTATGAAAAGAACTTATTCAAAATCAATTGATGTTGTGCGTATTTTTGCTCTATATCAATAAACTATTCTGTACCTATTATAATATTTGTAGATATCTCAAAAACTGAATGAAATTCTATTACCATGTAAGCGTAAAACATGATAAATCATTCCGATTATGAAGTCTTGTTGTATCTCAGGATTAAATGACAATGAGCTTACATTTTATTTATTCTATTATTCTGCCCGGCTATAAGTTCAATAATGAATATTTCTTCTTTTTAGTGATCTTAAGCAAGCAAACGGCACAGTAAATGTTATACTTTATGATGTCTTTATTGAGATCTAAAGACTAAACATTGAAAATGAACTTGTTTAATTCTACGACTTTCTACCAAAATTTTACAAAAATATCTGATGAAAAATAAACTGTTTCATCGATACTGTTCATTTGGCTAGGCCGTGGGTATTATTTTTTTTTGAGAGATCCTCTGTTAACACAAAAGTCTATTATCGTCAAAAAGAGTTTTATCTGTTTTAATGATTGATCCTACTAAAGCATATCCAAAGCAATAGAATTCGAGGCGTTAATGAAGATGATAAGAGTATTCTTTTTCTTTCTGTTCATTTATTGTAGAATCGGTACCATTTTAATAAGAAACATATAGAGAGATAAGGTGATATCGGGAAAGAAAGTGATGCGTTCTCAGTTAGTTTGATAACTGAAAAAAAACAAACTGTGAAGCAAACTTAACATGAAGAGTCGTTTCGACATATAGTTTTCCATAAGAAACAATGTTTTATTCTAGAAACTTCAAATTGATGGAGTCAAAAAAAAAAATTTGCTGGAATTCTTAAGATATGGAGAAAATCTACAGTTAATGTTATTTCGAACGTTGTTATCTCAATATTAGGTTAAATAAAAATAGGCATTCATAAATTATTCCTCAAAATAACACACACGTTGCTTATGTTCCTTTGATAAAAAAAGAGATGATTTTACAAAGAAATGTTTTAAAGTGTTCGGATCGATTTTATCAGAATATTTCGAAAGATGAAAACAATGAATTCTCATACAAAAACTATAAATGATTATGAAAAACAGAAAAGTCTAAATATCTAAAGAAATAATATCAGAAAATCACTTTCAATAAGTTTGTTCTTTTCGGGTGTGGGTGTGGCTGTTCATGTGGTGTTGGTAATATCTTCAGCTATATCCATACCCATATCCACCCACACCCACACCCACACCCATCTGTGTAACCTTCTATGTCAACCCATTTCGTATCGATCTGAAGTTTCATTTCTGTTGCGCCTGAAATTATGTAATGAAAAGGTATAGTAGCGTTCCTCTTAAGTATTCCATTCAATGGTTCATAAATTCGACAGTGATTAGTTATGAATATGCCGTAAGTTAATGGAAATTTCATTGGATTTTGAAGGCTTATCACATTCAAATCCAATTGAGCAACAATACTAAACTTTTTTTCTACATCTGATCGGCGTCGAGCAAAAATAGACAATTGATGTTGTCCAGTTTGTTGAGGTGCAAATAAAAGTTGCCATTGCTTTTTCTCATGATCAATTTGTGTCAAAGTTGTTTGATTTTCTTCCTCAACATTGTTATATGCAATCTTGTATAAGAGTTCGATATCTTCAGATGTTTTCATTCGAACTTCAGTAAATGATGCATGATCAGACCAAACACCTGTTGATCGATTGCATGATACATCTATTTTCAAATCCAAATCGTGAAATAGTTGCCACGTTTTCGGATAAGAGAGTGGTGGTTTTGAAATATTTTTCGCGACGATCTTAAATGATACAACAGAAGTATACAGACCTTGATCTGATTTTCGTTTAGCCATAATATCAGCTTTGAATATTCCATCATCATTTGGTGCAAAACAACAAACCTATTAACATCTGCTAGCATCGTAATAGACTTGATGTCCTCCTTCAGTTTCACCTTTCTTGTCGTTTATAAGTTTACCAAGTAGTTCAACGTCATCTAGTGATTGTATGAGAATTTGTGCGAATGCATCTCCTTTCTCCAGACGAATAAGATGAGTATTTATTGGAAATATGATTTTTAATTGTAAATCGAAAAATAGTTTCCATGTTTGTGGATAACTAATCGGGTTTCTTGGCATTTCTTCAATGTCAAAGTTTAAAGTAATGGTAGAACTATGCATATCTATTTCTTGAGCGGCGCTTTTTGCATAAATGGTAATCTTATATTTACCAATTGTATTTGGAGCAAAATAACAGCAATATAATTTTCTCTTTAGATCAAAGATTATTTGATGATCAGAGTGTGGGTGTGGGGGTGTGGGGGTGTGGGGGTGTGTGGGGTGTGGGTGGGGTGTGGGTGGGGCGTGGTTGGTGTGGGTCTGGGTCTGGGTTCGAATGATGGAAATACCCACACCCACACACCCACACCCACACCCGAATTTCATGCATAAAAAGCCAAAAAGGTACGATTTGATTTTTCTTTCATATATTATTTCTCTTTTTATAGAGCAAACGAAAACAATCTCGGCCTGAAAAAAATTCTCGTCAAAAAGCACGAACAAAGAAATAATCAGAATTGTTATTGATTTTTTTCCCTTTGAATAAACTAAAGGGATTTGCAGAAATACTCATTGATTATGAAGAGATTTTCATCAACAGAGAACTATTTAAAAATTGAGAAATAGAAAGAAATTCTCCCACAATTCAACGATTTTCACGATAAAATAAACATATTATTCATAAAATATTTGAAATACATATCTACATCCAGCAAATAATAGACATAGAGGGGATTGTTTGAATGTAAAAAAAAGAGTAGAGAACGAACTCTTTTGACTATGATAAATCAAAAAACCGATGGTCAATCCAAGATTTCTCCTATTACTTTCTCAATAGTTTAGGGATCCATATCTCTTAGTTCTTATATCTTGCTGATTATAGCGCTAAACAACAATGACTAAAGATTATTTATAATTGAATGTTTACTTATTAAAGCTATCTTTTAGTATAATTTTCAATGTTGAATGCTTGAAGCTGTTTGATTATCATCTGATAAAATTTTGCCACTATAATACTTATTAATTGAGCATTATTGACGTACCAGTATTTCAGTCCAAGATACATCTTCAATTCATGAACAGTTCTTGTTCTATCAATGAAAAAATGATCTGTAAACGATGATTGTTCGACAGTAACTAGAATTTGACATATATGTTAAACTTGAAAGTTGATTGTTCATCTTCTATCACATATTTTGAATGACAATGACAGAAAGAGAGATAATTTCATTTAATTATTTGTTTTCATTGTTGATTCAGACTATAGGATAGATATGTCATATTATTCTCATTGAGAATATCTGTCAAATACATCAAAATGTAGAAAAATATGAAAGAATTATCGATTCAATTAAATGATTTACCGAATGAAATTCTTACAATTGTTTTTAAAAAGTTGTATAATTTCGAAACACTCTATTCTTTTATAGGTATTAACAAACGATTCAATAGAATTTCACATGATTCTATATTTACAACTCATTTAACATTGATGACTCTCTTGTACGATTGCATCTATTGTTTGTCTGATCTAATACTCGATCGATTTTGTTTACAAATTTTACCAGAAATTCATCATAAACTTAAATAGCTTGATCTTGAATCGACATCTATTAGAACTCTTCTTCTTTTTCTTTATTATTCTTCCTTTCCTTCAAAAAGCAAACAAGCGAATGAATCAAAAAACAAAAAGCAGCAAAGAATGTGATTCTCTCTGTGTCTCTTATTCCATTCTTTATCTTTCTTTAGCCATGGTGAGAGTACCATTGAGAAAGAAGAGTAAGAATGCCATTGATGTGCAGTGATGACATCACAAGAGAATAGATAGAGCTTCCTTATGTCAGAAGAGACATCTCCTGACATAACAACATCTATGGAACGCATTCTTCGTGTTACAAATTATCTTAATTTATATGGACTTGGTTTATATGGTATTGATGTAGAAAATGCTACATCTCTCTTTATTGGTAAGTTATTATTTTAATTCTAAATAAATAAAAATTCAACATTATTCGTTCTTTTTACATATATAATATGGTTGAGTAGATAATTGAGCAATCTATAATACACATTTGTATGTTGCACTATTAATTTTAAATTTCTCTAGAGATATTTAATTTTTATTTAGATGATTCTATCTTGACATATGTAAACAAAGATAAAATATTATCACTTGTTATCGATATAAGTAAAAATTAAAAAAAGAGATTTTACGACTAGGTACGAATAGAATTGTATTTCCGCATATCTTTACTATGTTTATCAATTTACAATATTTAAATTTTCGAATATCTTCGATTTCCAATGAAAAATTATCATTTGGGATGTGACCTTCAAGTTTTACTTTTTCAAATCTCTTAGAACTACATGTTTCATGTATATTATTTCATTGATTGTCTATACTTACTTGATGGACGTTTTAATCGACTTCATACATTTTATGTTGATATTACTCGCATTTATTCTACCACTTTAACAATCAATAATAAGGTAAATTATTTTTGGTTAATATTAAATCTATTGAAATAAATTTTTCTAGGAAAAATTACCTAATCCAAGATGTTTTTCGTTGTATTGTGGTATGCGTGCACATAATTATGATAATATAATTATACCATACCATTATTACATCGAATGTTGAACTTAGAAAAACTTGATTTACAACTTAATGATGTCTTTCTTAATGAAGAATTTATTGAGATGGAAATTTGTTAAAAGAAAATATAATTAATTATATACCGTGCCGTGCTTAAATAAATTTACATTTGATATTCGTTTATTTTTTTCCTTCTAATGAAGATATTTAAAGATTTAAAAAAAAATCAAATTATTTCTTATATTGATTATTTTGAAAAAAGAAAATGTGGTTACTGTTATATTTATTCTTATCTATATAGAATGAAATTTTATGATAATGTCACAAATCATTTTCCTGACGAATTAGTTATATATGTTGTCAGAGTACCATTATATGATGATCCTCCATTTGAATATGAATTTTTTGTTCAAATTGCTCAATCATTTCCAAGTATGAAAAACTTAACTGTAATGAATGATTAACCGTAAAAGAATAAATTATACAGAAAAATCAAAGAATGTCCATACTCAAGATTTATCAATTATTGAATATCCTCATCATTATCAAGCTCAATATGATTATGTCGAGCAATTTCTAATTAATACAGAAATATGTTCGTCGAATAATATCCATCTTTGTGTTAATTATGAAGCACAGGAGAGAATTACAGAAAATTTTACAAGACATGCAACACGAATAAATTGTGCTAAACTGTGTTATTTACATTTTATTTGGTCAATATAAAATTACTAAATTTGTAAAAGACTATTTCCCATTGATCATTTTAAATGATTATTGAAATAAAATATGAAAAAGACCAGTATGTTATATATATACTATACTGGACAATATTTTTTGAAGGATTTTGTTTTATGTATAATTTTCTTATAGATTTGATTTCCAGGGTGCGACTTGCATCACAAGTATAGCCAGTATTTATACTATATCTACAGAAAATTTCACCCCTGAATATTGAGATATAACAATGTGAAGTAGTCACATCCTTAGGGGTACATTTTGATGGTAAAAACTTTCTAAAAGCCAAATGTTTCTGAATTGAAATGCTTATTTTACGACAATGTTCATTATAAACTCTTTATCATTTTTATATAGTATAATTAATTTTTCTTTCCAAATATCATATTCGAAAGAGCATCAAATGCAGATTATCTAAAGTTTGACGAAAAATTTTGTTTAGTTTTGAAAAGTCATTTTCAATCAAATTTGCATTGTCTGACGGTCTTTCGAATATAATATTTGAAAAAAAAAATTAATCATATTATATAAAAATGATAAAGAGTTTACAATAAACATTGCCGAAAAATAAGCATTTCAATTCAGAAACATTTTGGCTTTTAGAAAGTTTTTACCATGAAAATGTAGCTCGTGTTTTGCTCTTTCTATTCATATGGTTTCAGTTCTTTTTTGGAAAATTGTGGAAAAAAAAAGATAACTCTATTTAAAAGGTTGTCCAAAAAACATTGTCCAGTATAGTATTTCATGCATACTTTAGAGCAGAAATACAGAATCTGCCGCTAAAATGAAAAATTTCCGTGACTAAAATATTCAATTAAAACTCTTTTGAAAAATTGTTAAAATCTAATGATTGTGAAAAATAATGGAATTTTAATTTTTATGTTAATAGATGGAAAAATTAATTTTCTTGATTATCAATCAAATTTGTTTCTCGAATAGATTTTTTAGGTCAGAGAAAAGTTAGAAGATTCACATCTTTTCTACTGTAAAAGTGCGAAAAAATGATAAAAACTATTTAGGAATAGATCTCATAAAATTTTGAAATATGCTGCAAAGAGTTCTGCATCTTGTTATATGATTTTCAGAGTATTAGAAAAAATTCGAAATACTAAAAAACGATCGGTTTTGGACAAAGTTGACTTATTCTTTTCGATCGATTGAAAGTAAACGAAATGTTAGCGAACATGTGCACTGTTTTGTGCAGTCGATTATACGAGATTTACTATTTTATAGAATGAGTAGAACTTGTGATAAGATTATTTTTCATTATGCATACAGAAATTCCTTGAGCTTAAAGGAAGGTGTGGTGCATGGAACATCAAGAAGTATTGACATTATTCGGAATACTTCTTTTTCATTATCAATTATAAGAATTTACATCATTCAAAGCATTCTATGATTCATGGGTGTGAGTGAATGAGATATGGATCCCCATCCGCACACCATTACCGATTGCTCAAACTCATACCTTCATTTGAATGTTACATTATAATGCTCGTCAATCGTATGGTAAAAGAAGTAAAAATAAGACTATGCTAACTCATGGATTGTTCTACTATCTTCCATATTTGGTTTCCACAGCCGAGATCACCTGTTTAGTATAAGCTACATTTTGAAATAGGAATGTTAAGCTTTATCTGATCATTTATGAACTCAGTTTATAAGCTAGTTGCGTTCATCTTTTCGAATTCTTCGATATTATGTTTGTGGAACAGCGACAGAAATAAAACGGAGAAAACGTATGAAGGAAGGATGAACAGGTGATGTTTGAATTAAATTTCAAAACTTTTTCAGCATTTAGGCTCATAATGTAAGTACTTGTATCGAGAACATATACCTGTTAGTTGAAATGAATGCTTACAATGTATAAATCCTACGTTACGGAACTTTTCTCGTCAACAACCTCCGAATCTTTTGTAGATAATAGTGAAATCCAATCATGCACTGATTTTTTTTTCACGAATATCAATTTCTATAAACCGCTTCTTCATCTTTTAAAGCTTATCCTTATCATAGATTTAGACCGAGAAAATGAGATTGAAAATATCTGTGTTTTGGATTTTTTATATATTTAACTGGAGCCTTTGAATACATGCTATACAATGCAGAAATCGATATTCCAGAATATTTACAAGAACTGTTTTTCTTGATCACAAAAGATGTAAAAAATCAAACATAAATTCATTATTTTATGTCTACTTCAAAATTCTGTCATCGTACATTTGAATTGAAAATATAATAAATTTTTCATCTATTTTATATGTGAAAATCCATTTTTTAAAAGATTGTGGTTACAATAAAATTTTTACAATCATTTCTTTTAGTGTTTAATTTTATTAGTGAATTTTGTTGTGAAAGTCATACGATGAATCATCGATTAGTAGGCAAACTATTTTATTCGATAAAACGAAGAATGATTCTCTTTTCTATTTATGTGTTTGTTAGTCATTTCGTTAGTCGTTATAAGCACTATATATCAAATAATACTGCAGATTGTTTATTTTGCTTTTTCAGAAATGCCCGAAAAAGGTTCATGTACCGATATAACATGTGATAATGAAATCAAAGAATTATATGAATGTCATTGTTGTTTACGTCTTGTGTGTTTTTATCATTTGAGTAAACATATTGAAATAGTAAAAGAAAATAAACAACGATTAGATAATCTTCGTAATGAATTAAATACAGTTGTATATTCACTGAAACTAATTATTGAACGTGAACAAAATTTGGTTGAACAAGCAAAAAAAGTTTTTGACGAACCCAGCAGTTCAATGAATGAACTAAAAAATATTATTGAAAAAATTAATCAAACAATAGCATCAAATCGTTCAGGTAAAAACTAAATTAGATAATCAGATTTTTTTTTTTTGTATATTTTTCTTTTCTTTTTTTTTTGTTAAAGAAGAAATCACAATGAAAATCGAACCGTTATTATCAGAAACTAAATATTGTTCTTGTGTTTGCCAATGTAATAAGGAAAACATAAATTCAAATGGTAAAATGAAATTTCTTTCTAAAATATTTTTTTTTGTTTGTTTCGTTCGAACCCTTAGTAAAAAGCAGTTATAGTTAATGATCTAAGCCATGACTTTTCTACCGAATTGTCGATCTACAAGTATTCATAGACATAAGTTTGATGACTCTTAGAATATTCGGAAAGTTTGAGCTGTAAAAAAAAAATGTTCATTTATCGAGATATTGTATTTTCAAGTAAATTTTAGCCAATGGTTATTTATTACAAATTTAATATCTCAATGAATGAGCATTTTCTCGCTGTAGATATTCAGTTTATTGTTAAATAGATTAATAGACAAAATACGGTTAATTTATTTTTGAATAAATTTTACTCTGAGCGAGTCATATAGTTCACTCGTAGAATAATAAATAAGTTTTTTGTATGTTTAGATGTAACAGAAGAATTGGAAATCTCAAAAAGTAAGTCGAAATTTTCTTTAACTTTAAAAGAAAAAATAAACATGAGTGGTTTAAGATGATGAATATTCAACAGATATCAATCATGATTCTATTGATACTATATCAATGTAGTAAGTTTCTTTTTTATTAGAAAAGATTCAAAATCGACTGCATATTTTTCTTTCTTTTAGCGAAACAACAAATTCAATTGAGGTAAAAATAATTATATAGATGAAGTCAGTTTTTGAATTGAAATATATCAAATCTTGTTAAAAAGAAACAATGATAAACAAGTTCTAAATAACATCATTATATAAACTTGAAATCGAGTATTGAGAAGGTCCGATTCGACAGATCGAATTTTGATGAGTTTCAACATTGTTTTTTCTGTATATTACCGCAGAAAAACGAGATTTTCTGCAAATTGGGATAGTTACGTTTGTTTCTTCTTACAACTTTGTACTCGGAATAGTCATTCATATATTCTATCTATCCGAACTTGTCTAAGCTTTTTGGTATTTCAAGAAACCTGATTCAAAACTTTTCTATTTAAATTATAATATCAGCAGTAAATAAAAAAATGCAGTATATTCACTACAAGTTATTTAAAACAGCATATTTCTGAATCAATAAAGTTCTCAGAGAACAATTCGCTGCTTTTCGAATGTGTGAAATATTCGTATCTCATAGATTTACACTTCAAGATATTTAATAAGAACACGAATTAACTATTGAAATTAGTGTTGTACACAAAAATTAGAAAGTTTTCGAATTCAAATATTTTCATAACTATATTTCGTCTCATAGCAAAGTCCTATTTTCAGTCAAATTCTATATGAAATTAGATAGAATATCATTCCTCATCCTTCTCGATATTGTTATGTTTTTTCATTAAAGTCAACATTATAAAGATAAGACCTAATGCTTTGTTCTTTGTATATGTTTAAATTAGTTTCGCTTTCAATGAAATGAATTCTGCATGATATTTAAACATTCATTATACATTTTTTTTCTAGGATCAACATGTAAATGAAGAAAATGAACCTAAACAAATACCATACAGAGGACTTCTTCGTAAATGTCCATTAAAATTCGATGGAGCATATGGTCTTACTGAAGCAAATCATTCTATTAAATTTTGTGAGCATAGAAAAACTCGTCTATCCGAATTATATAGCCATTTCACTCACAAGCATCGATTAAAAAAAGTTTATGCTCAACGTTTGGTACGAGCTGTTGTTGATGATCAAGATCCTAGCACAACAAAATTATTTGATGGAAATGAAAATGTAATTAATCATTTTTATAAAGTCCCATGTCCAATTTGTTGTGGACAAATTAATTCATCAGAATATACTCGAAAAAATATAGTAACTGTACCACGTCAACCTCGATTCATTGTACTTCATCAATTAAAAAAACATTTACAGCGTAATCATAAGGTTTCTAATTCGTTGGCAAACAAATTAGTTGATGATATCAAAAAAAATGAAACAGAAAATAATATTGATTTGACTCTACTAGTTCCCTCAACATCATCATGCTAAAAGAAAATCTTAAAATTATTTTTA